TGCTCTTAATTCTACTTCACGTTCAAGTTGTACATAACTTTGATTCAATTCAGTATTACTAGTAGCAGTAGGTATTCCGCTCATCTCATCATGATCAGCGAAAGACAAATCTGCACTATCATGACCACTGTCACAAATATCAACTTTATCCCTGTTTTCATGATCAACTTCATCATTTGCAAACTCTTCAATAACAGCAGTAGAAATTTTGGGTTCCTCCTCACAAATCCTTGAAGGTTTTATACCCTTACTCTGACTAGTAATACTTTGGAAACTTGTGGAGTCAGGACTGGACTCTGAGACTGTAACTCTCTTCTCCAGCACAAACTGTGGTGTCGTCTGTAACACTCTATTCAACAATGGCTCACCAGCTGCAACTACGGGCTTCTTCACTGCACCATTATCCTCACACGGTTCGGAGTCAGAGCTTGATGACGCTGATTTTACATTTAGCTTACTACTAAACTTGCCCACTGCTTCACAGTTCGCTTTTGTATGCACTTCTTGCAAACGTGTAAAACAACCGTGTTTTTCTTGCAGCTTGTAACCTATCTGTTGGGGATGTCCCACGGAAGCTGTTACACTCACTAAGTTTATGTGGATTACTAGACACCATAAAGCGTTCTTGATATCCACTTCTCTGAGACCCTTTCGTCATAAATGATTGTGTTTTGCTCCCAGACTGCTCCATTCTAGGGGTGGGATGCAATACACTGGCAAATTTGCTCATAGCTTAATTCACACTACCTTTTAGCAGTTTCAGAATATCATCGAGCTTTGACTCAACTCCTTCATCCTCTATACAAGAGCTTATCTTCACCCACTTTCTTTGCAGTCGAGTAGGTAGGCGTCTCGTTATTACCTCTAGGACGGAACTTGAGTTCAGATCGCCCATGCAATTCATCGAAATCAACGTATTCTTGTAAGTCATCAGATTATCCAAAAACTCAGAGAGTGCCATTGAGTCACCTCGTAATTGACTATCATTACTCTTAACAGCCTCGAATAAATTCCATACAATCATCGAAGTTCTTCCGAATCTTTGACGCAGTTTACTGATAGCCTCAGAGTATCCTTCATTTGGCTTCATAAACTTACAGCACTGTATAGCTACTGCAGCAACTCCAGTGCAGTACCTCATCAAATTCAACTTCATTTCATCATTTAGTAAAAAACTACTCAACATGATTTCAAACTCCTTTACAAACTGTGGATAGTCAGCTGGGTTTTCGTCGAAACACCGAGGTTAAAATTTAGGCCTATTATCCCTAGACGGTGAAACATGAACAACATACTCATCATGCTGAGCATCATACATATAATTACAATTAAAAGACAAGTCAACATGACTTACTTTCCTGCTTGCTTCCAAGACGCTCTGTCCCTTCTTTGACCCAGGAATCATTGAACTTGACCGAAATTCCAGATAATACTTGTCCAAAAAGACTGTCAAACACCAAGAAAGACGAACGGAAACTATCCAAACACTATCAGACACTGTCAGTCAAGTCTCGTGAACCGTCAGTGTCCAGCTCTTGCTACGCTGGGCCTCACGCGGTGACTCGAAGATTTTCAGAAACGCTTAGTATTAACCGACGCAAAAACCAGAACACTGTTTGGCGACTCAAGAATCCTTTATTCTAACGCCAACATATAACCAACAATACTTTTATTACAGGGTAAGGTCTAAGAACAAATGTTGTAACAATAAATCACGATATTACTTCTGATAGTTTTTACGTCTTCCTTCTGAGACGATGACTATCGGATTGATGACCCGCAAAAATTATGGGGAAGTTTGGTTTGAGCAAACAACCATGAATCGGTCGTTCAATCTTCAACTACATTGACATGGTGTAAATGCCTTAGAGCAGGACCCAGCAAGACTTTTCCAGATTGAAAGATCAGACGACACATTGAAAACTGTCATACAAGTGTTAACTAACGAAAAACGTGAATCGGCCCACAGCGAACCATGATCCAAATCTCCTACTCCAAGAGAACGACCGGTTAAGCTTGAATGCCTGCGAAATATTGACGTGGCTGGAGGATGACGGAAGCTGCGTGGCAGGAATACCTCAATGCCTGCGCCAAGAGATGATACAGGAATGCCACCAACTAGCTCACACAGGTGTTGCTCGAACGAACAATCTCCTGCGACAAACCATGTACTGGCCAGGGATGAGAGAAGACATCGAGAAGTACGTAACAGCGTGTACGCAATATCAGCTGATGAAAGGTTATCAGTGCATAAGACCGTTACCGCAGTCGATTCCAGTGACAGCAGTAGGCGACCTGCGGTCCGTAGATGCGATGGGACCTTTTCCACAAACGCCCAATGGCAATCAATATCTTCAGGCCATGAAAGAACACTGGCTAGGCCCAGTCGCGATCCCTGATCAACGCGCGAAAACGGTCAAAAAAGTAATGGTTCGACATATCGTTGCAAACCACGGTGTGCCAAAAGCGATATTGACGGACCAAGGTCCGTGTTTTGAAAGCGAAGAGTTTAAAGTTGGGCTGCAAGAGTCAAGTATCAAGAAAATTAGAACAACGCCATTTCATCCACAAAGGAGAGGGCTGACGGAAAGAAATAACCGTACCCTGAATGAATGGCTGACCACAAAGACCGGTAACTGTGAAACAGAGCTTCCACTAATTCTGCTAGCACATCGTACGTCCGCGCAAGAAACGACGGAGAAAGCACCGTTTCAGTTGATGTATGGGAGGAAACCACGACTACCGATACATAACAAGACTTTGGCCCTCCATCAGGATTTGAGTATGACGAGATAGCGGACGGAGCGGAAATAAGCCATCAACAACATAAAACGAAAGCAAAAAGTGGACGCTGTGAAAGCCGAACTGGGGGTAAAGGGGAAGTACTACGCATTCGAGATCGGAGATCAAGTCAAATGTAGTGATAGGCGAAACACCGGCGGGTACGAGCCAGGGTCGTGAAAACTGCTACCAAAGAGGGAAGGACCATAGACGGGGTCACTCATGTACCATCAAAAATGCAAACAAAGAGAAGCGGTTGAACCTCTGCGAGCTCCAGAAATGGATAGAGGGAGACAAGCCAACGATGACGCCAGCACCAAGAAAACCAAGTCGACTTCAATCCGAACTACTTGACGGGGGGACGAGTGTGGTGAGAGTTGGCTGCTAGCCAAATGGGTAGGCAGTAATTTACGTCAATGTTTACTTTACTTTGGTCGTGAGAAAATATGAACAAAGACTGATTCAACAACCAACCACAGCAGACTTTGCGTAGGCGGACACATTTAGCACATAGATGATCTGACATTCAAGAAACAGCCATAAAGAGATGAAAGATTAACTTTCAGTGAGAAACAACCAATCAGAAGACTGTGTTTGTTTGTTTAAACAATCTATAGTACTGCACATGAAAATATATAAATGTGTTGATTTCCTTAATAAACGATCTGTTGCCTGGCCCTTGTCGTCTGTTGTTACAGATCAACTCCAGTAGCCTTCAAAATACAGATGCTTAGCCACTGGGTACCATCTCTAAATAGTAAACTGATCATATTTTTTTCAGACAAAGGATAGCAAACACTGTCAACTGTACTCCAAGAGGTATATTTGCAGCAGTCTGATGAGGTCACAATTCTCAAAGATAGTGATATTTAGTCGCTTTTTCGTGATAGACTGTGTATAAAAGCCTACCATTAATGTGCGTTCAAATTTGACATATGAAACAATAGGAGTGAGACTGCAATAAGGAAATCCAAAATCTGTAGATAATTGTGTTTGTAAATAGTCTTCTTATATTGGTCACGAACCAAATTATGTTTTGGAACACACTTGTAAAATTAAGTAAAACTCTTGAACTTTTAATTAATCTTGAATTGGAAAAAATGTTATTCTCTCACAATACTTTGTATTCATCAAATTCTTCACACCTTGTGTTTCAAACATGAAGTTTGAATGGTGACATTCTGTTTGCAAGTATGTCTCACCTTCACATTGTAAACACTAGTACAAGTGCATTAAGCGTTTGGAGGATGTATACTAGCCTTTACACTTAAGGGTATCTTGCGTACTCCTTGACATCCTTAGTCTCTCAAACCATTGGTCTCTTGTGATTAGTTCACTCATAAAACTAATCGGATGGGATCACTCTAACTACCCAAAATACGGCTTTGTTAACTGTTTGAAATACTAAGGGTGGCGTAAATGAATTAGTTTGTGGATTTCAGCTGTCAGCTCACTGTGATTTTCTTATAGAGATTCATTTTAAGGCGACTGCTGAAATGTTTTCAACATTAATTAGGTTGTTAATTTCATGAATTAACCTCTTAATTTATTACTCCCTATTCCTCTCATTACTGTTTCTTCTCTTGAGGCTTAAGAAGAATATTTTTCAGTCTTCACCTTTATCAAATATTCGTTGAAGACGGTGTATATCCTAAGTTTACAGTCTTTAAATTCAATAATTATAGGTCTGAGGGATATAGTTCTATCGTTGAATTGAGGTCAAACAACGAATGAAAACCTGAAGTTATGCCTGTTCACGGGTGTCATCTTCAATGAATACTAGCTGATCTGACTGTCTAAAAAATGTCAATTCCACAACTGCAAATGAAACAAAACACTTATTGTTAACAACAGGTTATTAATTCAGAAAATGTATCTGAGAATGTGTATATTTCACTTTAAACACATAAGACAAGAACAGAAATACTCACAATTCTCAAATCACTCGGTCAAAAACAGACAACATTATCAAAAGAGACACAGTGTGGTAAATAGTGAAATAATAAATTATTTAATTGAATTGAATGATAAATCTGATGAAGGACAATACAATCTTGCGTATTTCATTGAAGAAAATAAACAATTAATTAAAATCAAGCAGAGAACAGACAGTTGACAATGTCACGTTTATATTATGGAAGGACGAGCACGAATGTTAATAATATGAAGGAATTTCAAGAAGTTACTCAACCCTCTGTTCATAATTTTTGGGTGAGTTTTTATTGTTGTTGATATTGTTATCATTATTATTATTAAACTGTTCAAAACCTGGACTTGCAACATCGTCATCAAAACTTCCCATCTTTGGAACTGTGATCAGTTTACCCGATTCTCCAGGATTATCAGCATGAACACTATGCCTCCATCCATATGCAAAGTAGATAATCAAACCTGTATAAAGCAATAGAGAAAGTCAAGTTTCTGAGAATTTTACCAGTATAATTTTTTTTTCAAAGGCTAAAAGCATGAAAATGCAACAAAAGCAAAAAATAATTTAGATTTCTTAGCTAGAGGTATCTGAGATGTTCCTAGGCAAGTAGAACGCACAATAATGTGAGTAAACTAGGGTTTAGACGTAATTCAATATAATTAAATATCTTAGCACCAACCGTTTATTGTAAGTTGTTCTGCAAACTGCTGTACGCTAACGATGTACGCAATATGAATAGTGGTTTAGCTCTGAGTTGTTAAACTCGGCCAAAAAGACGCACTGGCAAATCACGACATAGTGCGAACGCTAGCCATTGTCTTCAGCGAGTATTTGTTCTCACATCCAATTTGCTGCACCCTACCGGTCACAAATTATCACTAGAAACCCAGGTAACTACCTACCTGAATAGGGCTAGTCGCTAGTGAGCATCCCATTGACATTCACTAGCAACTGGCCCTATTCAGGTAGGTAGTTACCTGGGGTTCTAGTGAGAAGTCGTAACCGGTAGGGTGCAACAGATCGTGTGTGAGGACAAACACTCACTGAAGACACTGCGAAGTGGTCGCGCTATGTCGTGAACTAGCAGAAGTTGGAATTCATGGGCTGGCTATTGGATCGGGTCCCAGTGGCTTAATGGTCTACGAGCTCGACTTGTAACTAGAAGGTCCTGGTTCGAACCCAGGTGGTGAGTTTGTACTGATGAAGGGTCCCAAACTAGGACGGAACGGTTGTCCAGTACTTCCAGGCTTTTCAGTGGTTCGCTATCCGATATCAGCTCATAATGAAGTCCTGTAACCAATCAATCAGATCCTTACAAACCAGTACTTAAAATGTTTGTAATTATAGAATAATTTATAGGATGTACAGGACTTAGATTAGTAGGCACATAGAATGAAATAAAAACGTTACGTAACACTGTGTGAAATTCTATGCTATCAAATTTCACACGACGTTACGTAACTTTTTTATTTTATTCTATTTGCCTACTAATACTATAATTATGAACCCCTTTCCAACATTCATACATCTTATGAATTATTCTATATATGACATTAATTGTTCTACCACTTGACATTTAACTATGATTATAATCACAAACATTTTAATTGCATTTCATACTATTATTATTTCATGTATTCACACCTATGATTCAATTCCCTCACCGGATATAATTTCTTAAAAACACTTTATATATACGATTGTACAGTTTCATAATAAATTCGTTGAAAAGAGTCTCTTCTCTGAATCACTTGCTGAATCAATGAATCACTACAGAAAGAATTTACACGAACTATGGTCAAGGTTTGATCGGATAACTTCACACTAATTTAGCGCTGAGTGAAAAGTAGACATATACAAAAAACCATATTCGTATAAATCTCAGCAAGACTGAAATAAATAATTCTAACATTTCATTCGGCAAACTGATCCGAACTATTTCAGAGAAATAAGTAGCACGTAAGAATGACAACGGCATGAATTCATATTTGGATAATGCGAGAAAAAACTTTAGCTTAGTGATTTGCAAAATTTAGGACAGACTAATACTACAGAAGCAAATAAAATATATTCTATCTCCTTCGAATAATTTAAAGACAGTTTCCAATAAGAAAATATAGTGAAAATATTTACCGAAAAAAAGTGTTTTACAATGAAAATCTTACCTATGGCTAACCAAATAATGAATCGAACCCATGTCATGGGTGACAGCTTTACCATAAGACAGAAGTTGAGGAAAACACAGAAACACGGAATCAAAGGAACAAATGGGACCTGAAAATACAGAATAAAAAAAGCAATAACATCCTCTAAACTGCTACAATAACAAAGACAGTATCACTCAATAGTAAGATTAAATCTCATTAAATAAAACTATCAGTATTATTATGAGTTTTCACGGTGACTTGAATGCCTAAATGATATTGTAAATTATGAAGGCCGTATTGACTAGACTACTAGGACGCAGTATTCATGTTTTTCGTACAGAACCTAAAAATCTGTCATTGTTGATTTGTTAAACACAACTCCTCTATATATAGATGAGTTTTACTTCGAATCAGAGCATTGATTTGTTTATCTTCTGTACCACTAATTTTACAAGCTTTAGTAATCTATGGTTTATCGTAGACTTAAACAACCCCTTTATCGATTCCAGTTGAATAGTTCTTTTACAATAGATTTCCTAGTGAATAATGAATAATTTATCCTACAATGAGAAGACACAGGATTTCATCATGAGCTGACATTGGTTAGAGAACCATTAGAAAACCTGTAGGGATTATTGAACAGCTATTTCGTCCTAGTTTGAGACTCTTCATCAGGAAGCACCCACCGGGGTTCGAACCCAGGACCTTCTGCTTACCAGACGAGCTCGTAGACCATTGGGCCACTGGGACCCAGTGGTTCTTGAATTCTAACTTCTGCCATTTCACGATATAGCTCAACCGCTAGTCAACGTCTTCGGAGGGTATTTGTCCTCACATCTGACCTGCTGAACCCTACTGGTCACGATTTCCCACTAGAACCCCAGGTAACTACCTACCTGAATAGAGCCAGTCGCCAGTGGGAATCTCATTGATATTCAAGTATCTGTAACTTGAGATAATATCATAGGACGATGGGATCGTTTTTAAAGGTTTAATGTACCACGATATATAGCCTATTGCATGACACAGTTCAACAGTATGGGACACTTCAACATTTGATAAGATTTTTAGGAAAAAAAATGGTGTCATTTTTCTTACTGAAAGAAGAGTACAACTAGTTAGGTCATGTGGTTTATCCTGATTTCCGTACGATAAAATACCACTGAAACTGTTGTTTTGTTTTAATGACAGGAATAGTAAATTTTGGATAGGAGTCACACTTTTTTATTTACTTCTAAATTGATTTTACCCCCTTCACATGAGGTATTTACAAACTTCAAAAAGCTAAGAATGAAATCTCTTGTTTTACAGGGAATGAAGTTAGAAAAGCACGCTTTCATACATCAGCGAGCATTTCAACGTATAACATTCAATATACGTTTTACCATTTGTAGACCATGACATAATATTTTAGTTAAAGAAACCAATCCTTTCACTGATCACCTCTGAGTATTTTCCATCTATCGAGTATTGTAGAAACAAATTAATTAGCCAGTCTTTAAGTAACGGTTAAAACGGATATAAACAGTTAGTCTGGACATTCAGTAATGGTATTACTTCAATCAAATTGAAAATCACCTTCAGGAAAACAAACATACCTTAAAACTGTCAAACGACTTGTTTTGTTCATGTAAAAACATGATAACCACAAAAAATATAGCTCCAGCCAAGAATAAAATAAATATAAGTACTGCCCACCAACGTGCTTCTTGTAAATATTGTGATCCTGGCAACAGAAGAAAGGCTAAACCAAAAGCACAGATAGTATAAAGTAACAAAGAGATTATTGGCGCATAACCAGGTGCTGAATTACGCAGAATAGGAAGATGACGAAAAGCAGATTTCAATCGTCCAATAGAATGTGGCCATTCACTCAGCTCAGCTTCATTAGTTTCATGTATCCCTTTCTCATCTGTTAAGCGGTCATCAGTTGAAATGCTAAAATGCTGTAAAATGCAGAATATCATTAACAGGAAATGATTAGCATTGTTGTTCATTGAATATATAGACAATAATTGGTGAAATGTGTTACTGAGACAAAATGAATCAGTACGCTTGTTTGATTTACTTAATTATTTTAAAGAAATTGTTGCCAAAGACTTATTCGACCATGATTTTAAATAGTCCTGAAACTGAGTTTCATTTTGAATCTTCTTTTATTGCAATACGATCTGTCGCCCTGAAACAGTACTCCATTAATCGAAGCGTGAATTATTGTAAAACATGAGTGGTTAACATGTTTATGCATATGAAGCAGCCCCTTAATTGCTGGTGTTTTATCATACTACTATTATGCAGACAGAGTGAGCGAAGCCTGATCTATCGTATCCAGTAGAAATTATTATTACAAAACACAGGGTAATTGCTCACTGACATTCATATCACGTAAACGCATAAAACTAATTATTGTTGGAGCATTAGTCAATCATTCAATCTTGAAGTGAAAGTCTATGGTAACTGACGTAACAAAATATAACAGTATTCATTTGAATTAAATGGTGACTAGTGGTAATTATCCGAATGGGTGGATTTAAAAGGTATACACTGCATTGAGACTTGAGATGGTGTAGAGTCAATTGTTTGTTTTTGTAACTTACTTACTTACTTACTTACTTTGGTGAGCGACTCAAAACCTTAAGTGCACATACCACAACTGACAGTGACATTTGTAAATTCCAGCCAACGAGGAATCATGGATGGATGCTTCTGAGCAGTTGTAGAATTAAACTAGATATTTATAACGCAAGAACTTCTCAATAAATGTCTGTTTAATAAATTACATTGAAATTTTGTATATCACGACAACTGTCATCGAATATGGTACTAATTATCATTAACAGATTATAAAAGTTCCTTCAAACATCAAACATTATTAATGAGTTACTAATGTTAGGTCAGTTTTCACATCATGGAGGATATATATATATTTAAAGTGAAGATTCATAACATAATAATTGGTTGTATCACAAAGAAAACGGGACATAGGTGTGAAACTCTTTTATTAAAATATAATTTTCAAGAGCTTTTTCAGCTCCATAACCAGGGAAAACAAAGTATGCAGCTTCCTATTCCAAACATTCAAAGTTTCAACGTCTTCAATCTGTTTACATATATATCCACCATATTATAAAGCGTGGGTGATAGTCTGTGGAAAAAAGATCTACTACAGAGAGCTAAATTCCTACTTCCTTTGATTTTGTGAGAAGATCTTACTACAAATGCCTGCGAATCGAATAACGAGGGGAACCCAGGTAGTTTCAGTTTCTTATCAAGTTATTCATTTAATAAACATTCACGACCGTTTTCGGCAGCTTTAACTCCTCTGATATCTGACATCAAACAGATTCAGTCATAAGATGAATACAGACTTCACTAATATTTATTTTTAAATAAACATAGGAGATACGCCTGCTCGACTAATTCTCAAACTGATTTTCTCATTAGATCAATAGATGTCATTGCTTCAGATCGTTACAGTTCTCAGTTGAATCGCAAAGTTCCTATCATCTACTCGCCACTCCTGACACATCAACAAGTATTATTTTTTAGGTGAAGTACTTTATCACAAGTACTATTCATCTCAGATTGCCGACCGACGCATTCCTTTACTTCGCTAACCCGGTAGTAAGACGGGTGGAGAGGAAATGTCGGGTGTGAGGCTAGCGATTCCACCCCGTAAAAATAAAACATACCACTGCCAATGAAACTTCAAGCCTGTAGCTAGAAGTCCTATGTTCCACTAGGAAATTAAAGGAATACAATAAAAAGTACTATTCATCTCAACATATATATGAATAGCTTAAAACAGAATATGACACACAGGCTAGGTCTAATATTATAGTGTTGTAATTTAGTGGTCTAAGAATATGATCATCTTACAAAAATTTGAGTTGCTTGGTCATTATACCATGCACATGTTGTAGTACCGATTCTGTTTATATGGAACACTACACTACAGTACACTCAACGCAGGTATGAAATATACTGGAAACGTAGCTTTTCAAACCTAAACAGTGATTTAGTTTTACTTATGACCATATTTTAATTGCAACTGGTGAATAAACAAGCAAACAGGATTAAGAGAACCGATGCGCTTAACCAAATTTTCTTAATTCCCATGAAATTTTATTTTACACTTTTATACTACTCTTAGTAGTTACACATTAACTGAAAATATTAGGCTACATGTTTTGGTAAGCTGTGAAGCAGCAGAAAAGAATTATACAAATGGGTTTTCCCTATTCGATACCATGAAATACGATAATTCCACTGCTTAGTAGAAAAACAGAAATTCAAACAGAGAAATTCGTAGGATGATCCAGTTGCCCAAGAATCTCAAACTAATATCAGCACCCTGGATCACATCTTCTAGGGAACAAATAGCAACAAAAAAAAAAGAAAACTACTAGAATTCCGACAAGAGAAGTAAATCATCCTTGTCTGATGAAAACGCCTCCCTTTTATAGTAGTGAGTTTCCTGTTTCTCTCAGCCACTACTTTCCCGTCATTATTATTTCCAGTGATTAACCTCCGTATATTTGATTTTCTTTTATTACAACTTGATTCCACACTGTATTTTTGGTACAAGTATGGAATTTTCAGCGTGGATATCGGTAGCCCAAATTTCCCAGGCCGACCATAGATATCAGGTGTGCGCCGGTGTGGGATCGAACCCCGGACCATGTGCATGGTCGGCGAGAGTCCTAACCACTGTGCCACCGACGCTCATACATACGGTTCTCATTTATATTCAGTCTAAATCCTTAGAAAAAAAATTATCTCATTGTTCACAGTTTTGAATCTTTTCACTTGTAATAGCTGTACACTTTTTTATATTATGCTGACAAACATATTTGTGGGCAAGCATATTAACTGTTGCATTAAGCTAATTTAATTTTTTGTAGAAATGCCGGAAGGAAATAAAATTGAGTTTTATGCACGTGTGACTGAATACAAAAATTCAGCCATATTTAATTCATTTAATATTTATATGATAAAAGTATGTTAAAATAATCAGCTTTGCAATAGCAAATGATTTCCCAGCCCACCTGGTATTAACACACTTTTGATTTTTGTTATTTACGTTCAAAAGTTTATATATGGATTGTTTAAGAATAGAGTTAGTATTATTAATAATGGAAATATTATTATGAAAATATAGTGCGATTCATGATTGTCTCATTACGGTGTTCCCTGTTTACTGCTTTGATGCGTAGAAGTTTGACCATTGGTTTCTTTATGAAATAAAGAAGTTGAAAGTTCCCTAAGTGAATCACTTAAGGCAGATAGCTGGATGTCAGTGATTAAATTGTTCTTTCTAGTAAGAAACTATGATTAAGTTGTTATGTCAGCGGATGAAACAGTCGGAAAAGATGAATTCTGATCCTCATGATGGCATATATCATCGATTGATATAAATAGTTGGAAACTACTCAGGTCAACTAGTAACTCTTTCTAGCGAAATCGAAATAATTTTGGTGTGGTTTTGTCATCATACTCCAGAATGAAACATGTGCTGATGATGTTATCTGGAAAGACAATGAAACTTTCTCAACTAAACCGGTTGAATTAAACTTTAAGCACCACTGACTACCAGTGGAGTGAGACAGCATCAATCACCTTGAAACGCTAACTGAGCAAGTTAAAGAAACCTGGCAGATAATGTTATCATCATCAATAAAATATGCTCATCGAAGTGTTATGCCATTAAATGGTATATCTAGAAAGTTTCAGTTCAGGTTTGGGAATGATTAGGTTACGCTTTAGGCCAAGGACAAGTTAGGGTTAGGTTAACCTAATAAAGGCGACATTAAGGTAGGTTCGAGTTAGATTACATACAGTTAGTTTAGGGATAACTTCACGTTAGGGTTCGGTTCAGGAAAGATTAGGGTTATTGTTAGGTTTAGAAGACTTAATTAATTACATGCATAGAATGTGTTTAAATCACTCTGTGCAGTGTTGTAGAGCATAATTCCATTGAAGGTAGAATTCATTTCGATAAAGTTTCACAGTGTTATACATTAATATTTACTGATGACCAGGTTTCGAGCACAATTTTTTGCTTCGGAAATATTAGTGTATTACACTATGAGACTTTATCAAAATAAATTTTACACACAATGGAGTTATTTATATTCTGCTGATACTCCAATCTAAAACTGAGAGCTATTTTTATCACATGTGAGAGCGAGGTATCCTCTGTAACACTTTTTTACAACTTTTATGCATTATTTCATAAATACATGTATTTCATACACAGAAATGCCTCCTTGACGTGACTGGTGCATTCGAGGTCATTCGCTGACTGGTTGTTAGTGGTGTTTAAAGTTTAACTATGCCACCAAACGAAACAGCTCATTGAACACAACCACACCAGAATTACTAACATGAGTTACAAAAGCTTCTCTGTCATATATAAACCGAAGTGATTTAAATACGTGACCGTGGTTTTTGTTTTCGTTTAGAGTAGAGATTATCAACCGTGTGCCCAGAGTGAATCAGCTCATAAGACCGAATCAGTTAAAACCAACCAAATTCGGACTAGCTACTTGGGTGAACTGTCAATTCATAAAATCGAATTCTCAATTTGCAGATTACACGGCCAAAGATAACAATTCATCATGGTTTACTTTAGAAACTCATACCATAAATGGGTACCAAGAAAACAAACACTACTACATGATAGCATAATATTAGAAATTGCGCAAATCTTAATCATAATTCTATCAAATACGTTCCAGAATCAACAAATAAAAACTCTTTTACTGAAATGCATAAATCTGTCCATCATTACCATTTTTCATCCCAGTTAGCAAGCAGTTGTCATTTTAAAATACTTGCTAGTGTAAAATTGGTCTTCAACTTGTTGCTTCAGTTACATCACATCATAGATGTTACGATGGATCTAATGAAATATACTAGATTGGCATGGTTGTTTTTCAAATGTTAGGCACCCAATAGTGGACAGAAACTTTCAAATAACATTTAAGAATGATTGAGGCGTATAAAATTTTGTTTAGCGTAAAAGCATGCTGATTAATAAATACCAACTGAAGAAACATAAGCATCCGATTTTCGAAATCAAGCCGTCTTAAAAATGGAACTTTCTGAAAACTCTTACAGTATCTGAGAAGAACAATTCGTTCCCGTATAGTTTCTGTGATTTACTTAGTTATAAATACATCAAAATTTTAAAAAAATATGGACATACTGTGTGTGTAGTTCTCAATGACAGTTGCAAAATTCTTAAAGATGCCTCATTTTCCCAGATTAGTGGATAAGTGGGAGAAATTAGACGTATAAAAATCGAAAGAACATCAATTGAAGTTAATATAATTAATATGATGCCTACTGAAGAAAGTATGTTAATGTTACACAAGTGTTGAATGCAATTGTTAGAAGTCAAAAAATGCATTTCTTAATATTCAGGAATATTCACAAGAAACTGGAAGCTTCATAATGGGGACTTCAGCATGTTAAATGTATTACCTCTAATTGCGTATTTGCATCATTTCATCTGGGCTGAACGATACTACCAAATCCATCTTCAGGACAAATAAATTTACTAAGTTTGTTAATTTCACGTTTATTGTACACTTAAAATGTATTTTTTTCGGAGTATAGGCAATATTCTGTATAAAAACGCAAACTGTACTACTGAAATTGAAGTCACAAATAGTAAGAGAGTTTTCTTTTTTTTTAAAAAAAAGCATTACCGTTTCACTTGATTCTAATTCACTCCATTGACCAGAATAAAGTTGTGGTTGACAGTAACGTAGGATACATACATTCATTGAGACGATTGTATAAGCGATCAGTGTTCCAATGCTTAGAAAGTCAGCCAATAAATGAATGTCACATAAAAGTGTCAGTATAGCAGCGAATAATCCAAACAAACTGAGTGCAACAACTGGACCTAAAATACCAGCAGAATAAATTATTACAATATATATATATATATATGATCGAACACACTTATTAAAACTTAGCAACAATCTTCACCTCGAAACGTCGTTTTTAAGTGATCTGGAACCTTAATTAATGTAAAATTCTTTTTATTCGTTTACGTTCCCAGTGGATTATAGGGCTTCAAACTAGAGTTTTCAAGTTTGGGTAGCAATGGTGTTTGTTCTTAAGGGATGGGGTTGATAGCCTCATGTTCAACCTTCCCTCTTTGCCAGTCTTACTACTGAATTAGTGAGGTAAAGAAGTGCGTCGGTCAGGGATTTTGATCCTCGACCGACGTACTCATAAACCTCGACTAGTTTACTAGCCGATAGTAAGTTTGGGAAAGAGGAAAGGTTGAGCGTGTTGTTAGCAACCGAATCCTGTAAAAACAATACAACAGCTACTCAGACTTCAAGGCTTCAACCATGGAGCTATGTTTTTTACTCAAAATACAAAGGAATGATAGGCAGGTGGATAGAGTTCGTAGCATCACTTATAGAGAATGTAAATACATTTTTTTTATTACGGCTTGATTCCATACACTACTTTTTGGTAGAAGTATGGAATTTTCAGCATGTGATATTGGTGGTCCAAATTTTGCAGGCCGACCATTGATATCAGGCCCGCGTTGACAGGGAATCGAACCCTGGACCATGTGCATGGTCGGCGAGAGTCCTAACCACTGTGCCACCGGCACACATTCATTGTATTGTGAAAACTCACGGAAATTTTACTAAAAAGCGAAAGATTTATCCGCAAATGAAGAGACACCAGATGTTTAAAAAATCAAAAGTAACATTTATTTCTATCACCCAGTTTTGTTTATTCTTTGTTAAAAGCAAATGTATGTTTATCTGTTATGTGTACTTATTCTTACGTAAATTAATTTTGATATGATTGGCGTAAAAATATATGTGCTAGCTGTTAAGTTCACTTTTGGATCCACTTAGTTGTTCTGAACTACTGAGAGCCTCATTAGTCAGTCATTTTTTGGAAACATACAAATGGTACTAAAATTCATTTCAATAATTGCCAACTGTCAATTCAAGTAAACTACAAGTGGAAAAGAAGCATCCACACAGTAAGTCAATCAGTTCTACATACAACCATTACTGAAATTTTCACCACTGGAAATCAACAATTTCTTCAGGTAACTAATTGTGAAATGTATAATTTCTTTAACTATTTAGCTTAACAGTTTTACCGTACAACATTTCGTAGAACTAAATGGCTTATTTCCATTGGCACCTGGTTTATATTCCGTCATAGACATTCTGAAGATCACGAATTGGAGGACGCAGTATAGTCAGGAAAGTAGGTAAAAGAAGTCCCCGATATTCATTGTCTTGTCTGGAATCCTTGAATTTATGTATTCTAATTAGTGGTATTTATAAGCTTAGCAGACATACTACACCTCTAACTCAATAAATTGAGTTTTAGGCCAGAAAATGAACCAAACGGTTAATTATTTAGCAGAAATGTTGGGTGACATACAGGGTACAAGTTGATAAGAATGCATATGCTAATTGATAAAATGCACAAATCTTAGGTCTGTGCCTGAATTAAAATTAAGTGATATTCTTGTTACAAAGCTCAACTCCAATCGTTATGTCGTCTTTCCAATTTCTCTCATGCTAGTACACATGGTACTAGCAACAAAGTTATTTATGAAACTTTTAATGAATTTAAACAAAAGAGTTTTTTCTCACTCATTTTTCTTACATATTAATCAATTTGACATTAGATTTTTCAAGTATTCTTGTTGATGAGAACAGCAAACAAAAAAGAAAGGTTATACAATAAACTAGTTTATATGAATAAGATAAATTTAATAAGTTGCCATAGTGATCAATATAACATTGAATAACTTACTTGAGTAGATGGTAATAAATAGCCCAAGAATTTAGGCAATAAACCATCACTAGCCATTGCATAAACCACTCTCGGCATAGCATACATACTTGTAAATAGACTTGCACTTAATCCAAGTAATGAACCAATTCCTGTTATATATGTAGCCCATTCATAATTACGAATATGAAAAGCTGATGTGAAAGCAGCTTGTCGATCCACTGTCCACCATGGTACAAAAAGTGTTAAAGCTAGACTAGCCAACAGAAACAGAAGTGTAACCACACCAACTGATACACCAGTAGCAATTGGCATTGATCTTTTAGGATTTAATGCTTCTTCACTACTCACTGTAATAGCATCAAAGCCAATAAATGCATAGAAACATGTTCCAGCGCCACCAATCATACCTCCAAAGCCAAATGGAAATAGACCACCATGACTGGCTGGTGCAAATTCTGAACCGTGTTTATTCGGTCGTGAAAACATAATGCAAGTGGCTAAAATAATGACCACTAAATTTAACAGTGTTATTACAGTGTTCAACATAGCTGATAACTTTGGACCACGAAATAGTATTAAACCAAGGACAATGATTAACAGAGAGCCAATAAAGTCAGGATAGTCTCCAAGGAATTCCACATGCGATGGAAAACTATTAAAAAAGAGAAAGCAACAGAAATAAAATACTTCACTGCCTAATAGTTAAACTGTATTCATACGCGATATACAAATAGAGTATTAATGATTATGTAGTAAGGAGAGATTCTAATGAAGAAAACAGTTTTAATATCAAGTACTGGTTTGTAGGGATTTTGTTGATTGGTTACAGGATTTCATCATGAGCTGACATTGGTTAGAGAACCGTTGGAAAACCTGGGAGTACTGGACAGATGTTTCGTCCTAGTTTGGGACTCTTCAACAGTACGTACCCACCACCTGGGTTCGAACCCAGGACCTTCCGATTACAAGGCGAGCCAGCTCGTGGACCATTGACCCAGTGGAATCCGATAGTTCTTGAATTCTAACTTTTGCCAATTCACGATAAAGAGCAACCGCTAGCCAATGTCTTTGGCGAGTATTTATCCTCACACCCGATCTGCTGCACCCTACTGGTCACGACTTCTCACCAGAACCCCAGGTAACTACCTACCTGAATAGGACCAGTCAATCAAAAACTAAGCAGCAGACTAATGTTTAATAAAGGTCAAATATAATAAAGAAACACTTTTTTTGAATAAGACTTTGGTATGAATTAGTGATAATCAGATAGTGAAATTCCAGACAATATCTTTGAATTATTAGCGATAGAACAGCGGTTTCAGTCAGTATAAGAAATATGTCAAAGGGAAATCAACTGATAGCTTGTATAAAAGCATGCATGGCATAAAATCAAGCTTAACCTTAGAGAGATAAGAAATGCATATTAACTATACAGAATTATATAGTGAAAATACTCATTCAGACATTTTAAAAAAAATTGGTCAAAGAATATCCTTTTCGATAATTTCCTCTTCCGGCTTTACAGTTATATGTATATGTTTGTATACATAGTGAAACGATAGCAGATGAAACATTTGGTAAAGTAGTGTCAATTAGGAAACTGATATCTCTATATAGCGAAATTATATACACCTTATCTTCAACGCACCATTTACACAGATCTTCGTGTTGTGTTACTTCTGGCCTTCCTTCATACTGTGTTTATTTTTGGTCCTTTCACGTCTCCCACGTATCTCTGCAACGTTGTATGACGATGAACATCTCTTTATATACCACTGAAAAATCTTATCGGTAGCACTCTGCACAATAGAACACTCTAGAATAGTCGTCAATAACAATATTGGTGTTTTTTAAACAACATCGATTTGTTATGTAAGATCAATGAAATTACAGTTTGCAATTAATAATGTTTTCTGAGCTGGTTGGTTTAGTTGTGGAGCTTTCGTCGTCCTTCTGAACAACTTCTTCAGCGCAATGTTTAGCACAAGGTGAAATGATTTAAATTTCTTCATAAGTGATATAATTGCGTCTCCCGGTAACCATCTTTACATATGTATTGACCATTTTTTATTAATTTGGATTTTAAACTTTCTGGTCCCATAATTTACTTTTTATTAGTTGGTATATTTCATTGGGATTTTTCTCTGGTTAACAATCTTTCTCCCACTGACTATGCTTCTGCAAGAAAATGTATACGAAACTACTAATTGTAATCAGTAGCATGCTCCTATTCTCTTTGGTGTTCATCATACGAAAACTTAATTAATTAAAAACAAAGTATTTCTGCATTCTATGAGCTAAGAAAAAAAAAGACTCATTTTATTGAATATAAACTACGTTTTACAGCAAACAACGAATGAGCTGATAGCCGTAACCTCATATTCAGCTCAAACCAATAAGAATCGTTTTATTTCTGAAGCTAAAAAAAAACTATTTCCTTATTTTTTTATGAGCAGTAGGATAATTATGATTGGTTGATCATGGTAAGCTTTGCCTGTCCGTTTTACAACAACAGCTATTGATTATGACCAGATTCAACAATTCGATTCTATTACTCTTCATTCACTATGAGCAGTCCATTATTGATCACAAAAAAGAATGAAATATTATTTGAGACTTAATTCATCATTCCATTTAGGAAACAGTATACATGTTATAAATACCATTCATAAACATTTTTTAGATGTTTTAAAAGAAAATAATAAATAATAAAATGAATTTTTAGGCAAAATTTATTAATGTATCCATATCATTAGTGATATGGGTACATTAATAAGTGTAAATTGAGTTCATTCTGGTTTTCTATCTTCTGAACGTAATTTATTTTTAGCTAAAATTCATATTGTCACTCTGTCTGAAACGATGAAGAATAATCGTACTTCAGAGTGGAGATTTTCTACTTGAAATGCTCCACAATCTAATGTTATTTAAAGTTTCTAAAAGCACACTGATAAAAAGGACTAGAATCCCTTTAAAACTTTAATTTCGATGAACATTAGCTGGTAGAATATTACGACTAGAACTTGGCTATGTATTTACATAAGGATAATCACATTGGCTGTGCATGTTTTTTCACTTGCTCGTGGACGATATAACTGTTTGGTTAATTCATTAGGCTTAAGCTGTCAGTTTGTCTGCCATCGTCAGCCTGTCTTCATTCATTCAAAGATATTCACTGGGAGGTTTGATTTCACGATTGGTTTGTTGATAAGAGTTCAGTATTTTAAGATAATCATTTCTTCGTGTACACACCGTGAAGAGTTTATCAGTGAACAAATTTCAGTTATTCGTTTGGTTTCTGCTCATGGAAATTCAGAATATGAGTACTAATTTTAGTCAGTAGTTAGCCGAATAAATAACCTGCTTACTTTTCATTTCATGGAGGATTTCATCATAAGCTGACACCAGTTATAGAACCACTGGGAAACCTGGGAGTACTGGACAGCCCATTCGTCCTACTTTGGGACTCTTCATCAGTAAGCACCCACCACCTGGGCTCGAACCCAGGACCTTCTGGTTACAAGGCCAGCGACCTCATAGACCATTGAGACACTGGACCCGATCCAATGGCCAGCCCATGAATTCTAACTTTTGCCAATTCACGACATAGCGCGACCATTTAGTAATGTCTTCTTCGATGAGTTAATGCCCCATCTTCGACCTGCTGTACCCTACTGGTCACGGCTTCCCACTAGAAACCTAGGTTAACTGCCTGAATAGGGCCAGTCGTTAGTGAGCATTTTCATTTATTCTTTTTAGCGTGTATATGCAACAAGGGAGTGTCTATGATTTCTAAGACATGTATTCAGGTGATAAGGAAAAACAAACAACGGAAGAAACCAACGAGTGACAAGCAGTTGACATTTAAAATCTCCTTGTTAGTGTATATTGTTGTCCATTTCTAAAGCCTTACTCGGTATTACCTGAGGCTTTCTGTTACGCAGATTACATTTACGACGAAAGCAGGATGAAATGAGCATCCTCGATTCCATTACTAGTCATCATCAGCCAAAATAAATTCACGTTGATCCTCTGATATCGTTGAGGCGTCCGCATTTCGACTCGACGTAATCAGTCAACGGAAAATGCAAATTAGCCTAAAACCAAATAATATTGCTCACGAGGTGGTTCTTATGGCCTTATTGACCTAGTGGATAGTGTTTCAGTGTATGAAATAATGAGTGCAGGATCCCAGTTTCAGTGGAAACACCATCACTCACTGGAAATGAATGTACATCCAACTGACGAGTCCCAAGTTAGACGAAATACCCATCCTGAATTCCAATGAAAGTTACCACGATGCACAATAAGTGTTTTCCAAACTTATTCTTTAAATATCTTTTCTGTTCACTCAGCGTGATTGAAATTTCAACTATATGCTTTTATGCATTACTTCACAAAATCTACTATCCACTATTCTTAAAAATGTAATCAGTTCCACTTAAAGATTATGTACTTACTAACAGTTAATATTCCACAATAAAACACTGTGAGATTTTTGTAGTGTCCAGAAAAAAGGTTTTGCTATTATTATGATTATTATTAGTGGAAACATATTCTGTAGAAATGAAATGAAAATGTTTGCCTAGTTGTACAACTAACTAACATATAAAGATAATTATCACTGTAATTCCTAATTCACATTTTTTGAATTTGTAGTCCACTAACCCAGGTGATTTGTATCCTGTATCAAACAAAAGCTCACTACTATCAGCAGCAAAACTATTATGGATAATGATACTATCAAAGGCAACTAGACAAGATGTAGTATTATTTTCTTTCTGGTCGATCAGATGTTCACCAGATCAACAAACTAAGACATGATAATACCAACTATAAACCAGCAGCCTAATGATGGGCTTCACTATAGTCATCTTAATGACAAATAAAAAGTTTTATTACCACTTGAAGTAATGAAAGTAAGTAACAGGTGCCATCATACAATGCATCGTAAAATAAGTTACGAAAATTCTATTTCCAGATGTCGATTTGACTGATTTCAAGTTTAATCGCTAGATGATATCAATTAGACAACCAATGAAAACCATGAAGTACTGGACAGCTGTTTCACTCTAGCTTGGGACTCTTCACAGAACGCATCATTAACCACCATGAAGAGTCGAACTCAGGACATTCAGATTATAAGACGAATGGTGACGCTATATATATAGCGAATCAGAGCAAGTTAGAATTCATGGGTTATTGATGTTATCCCACTGGCTCAATGATCAACGAGCTCACTTTCTAACCTGAAGTTCCTGGTTCCAGTCCCTACTGAGGTCATGAGTGAGTACTGATGAAGAGTCCCAAAGTAAGGCGAAACTTCTCATCCCCATTTCAAGTTACTAAAACTGATAAAGCGAAGTAATATGTTTGCCTTCGACGTCACTTAGTAGCACCTATAAAGTTACATTAATACAATCATACATTTATTTTGTTTCGGTTACTGTACAACCAAATGAAATGTACTGATTTGTTATGGGTTGTTCAGTGAATTTGTCTTCACAAAATGTCTGTACATCTACATGTTTCGAATTTTTTTCATATAATGAAACAAGGCTGTATAACGATAAGGATAAAAAACATCTGTATCTCAGATTTTGAAAAGACTTAGGCATCATAGCTTTTTCGTGAATTCTACTTCATTCTTATTCCCACAGTAAGTGGTATACGAATGTCGTATTCAAACAGGAATTTTGAGTTTTATTCATTTATATTACATTGTATAAACATCTGAAACCTAATGACTTGACAACTTCTATCACCTGTCTGATTTACAACTAATTTTGGCCAAGTTAAACTTTAAACACCACTGACTACCAATGGAGTGAGACCGCACCAACCACCTTGAAACACCCACTAAGCACGTTAGTGAAACCTGGCAGATAATGTTATCATCATCAATAAAATATGCTCATCGAAGTGTTATGCCATTAAATGGTATATCTAGAAAGTTTCAGTTCAGGTTTGGGAATGATTAGGTTACGCTTTAGGCCAAGGACAAGTTAGGGTTAGGTTAACCTAATAAAGGCGACATTAAGGTTTGTTCGAGTTAGATTACATACAGTTAGTTTAGGGATATTTTCACGTTAGGGCTAGGTTCAAGAGAGATTTGGGTTATCGTTAAGTTTAGAAGACCTAAATGTAGTGAATGTAGTGAAATTATTCTGTGCAGTGTTGTAGAGCATAATTTCATTGAAGGTAGAATTCATTTCGATAAAGTTTCACAGTGTTATACATTAATATTTACTGATGACCAGGTTTCGAGCACGATTTGTTGCTCAGGAAATATTACTGTATTACACTATGAGACTTTATCAAAATAAATTTTACACACAATGGAGTTATTTATATTCTGCTGATACTCCAACCTAAAACTGAGAGCTATTTTTAACAGATGTGAGAGCGAGGTATCCTCTGTAACACTTTTCTACAGTTTTTATGCATTATTTCATAAATATATGTATTCCATGCACAAAAATGCCTCCCTCACGTTATTGGTTCGTTCGAGGTGATTTACTGATTGGTTGTTAGTGGTGCTTAGTTTAACTTTGCCAATTTTAAATGAATGAATGAATTTCAAAGAGAATCGTGAAATCAACTCTAGTTGATTAGATTCTAACTCTGTTATCATAATGACCCATCTAATAATAATAATAATAATAATAATAAAACACCTGGTAGAAAACTGTACTTTTACATATAAAATATACTTGTCGAAACTTTAAATTTCCCAATATTAATTCTCAATGAACCAAAATGGTGAGACTGTATGAACAAATCTCTTCCTAGTATGGTTGCTTTGGTAGTACTTCTGATTTTCCAGATTTGGTGCAATGCATCAGATCACTTTGATTCAGTAAAGGCAAACAACGGGAAATTCAGGGGTCCAGTGAATATCAACTGATAACCACTGTATAAAAGTTGACTGTCATAGCTCATTGGCCTTGCGGCTAGTGCTTTAGTGTTCAAAATGTTTGATACTGAGTTGATGTCCCAACGGCTTAGGCAGAGATCCTTCTACACATTCTACAAACATCCGAAATTTATTGTAGAATTGTATCACTTCTTCATTTGTCCATCTCACAATTACGCATAGATAACTATTTTTAAAGTTCCGATAAATGCTTATTTAAATCATTCTATAGAGAAAAATGTATTAAAATTTCATCGAGAATCTTTCATTTATGACTGAAGAAATGTTAGTATGAACAAAGAATATTGTAATGTATATGCCTTACCCTCCAATAACACTTTTTGTTCCATTACTAATTGCATGTTGTGACATTGCATCAACTGTACCACTCCAGCCACGTGCAACACTTGCTACAGACAGAACATATTCTAATATCATTGACCAGCCAACAATGAATGCAAGAAACTCTCCA